AGCACTGTGATTTTTTACTAGCGAACGTTTCTACGGATTTTTGGAGACTTTTAAGGAATTTGCATCGTAGCATGCATAAAATTCATTGAAATTGGTAAAACAATTTGCACACGCGAAGGAAGGAACTGAGCAGCTATTGCCAAATTGAATTGGACAACTTAAGTTTTTACATAAAAACGCTTGTGCGGATTTTTGTGTGCAAAACGGTGAATTTTCTGCACAGGACGAAATGCCTTGAAATTTTCAAGAAAATTCGCACAGACGTTCTCTTGTAAAAAATTAAGTTGCTCGGAAAAATTTGACAATAGGTGGTATGGCTTGGTTCCTTTCTGCTTAACGCGGTGCGGGACTTGGGACGGGAGCTTTGGGGTTGGCGCATGCACTGTGTATGATTTCAGGGAGCAAGGGATGAACATGCCGACTACAAGACGCCGGAAACGGGAAAAGGGAAAAGGGAAGAGGGGGAGAAGCGTGAATGAAAAATGGGAGCATATGCCATTAGACTGCGGGCGCGGGCGTTGAGTGCGCATTGCACTCGATTCACGCGCTTATTAAATGCGACTTCGTGACGACCCGCCTTGCCGCTTCGTCCCCGATAATCCAAGGAGGCCCTGCGCTAAAGCCCTCTTTTATTGCACATCTTGGCGACGCTCGTCCCGTAACGTACACGGGAGAAAAACGCGGCTCCACCGGTAACCACACTTGCCGTACCCAATTCACATCCATTCAAATGTCGCGCCAGGCGCCACTTTCTTTCGCCCATTTCAATGCTCTCAATTTCATACTTCCTCTATTTGCCCTCATTTCCGGGACCGGCACTCCCGTCCTAAGTAGAGTCCCTTTATACTGAGAGTCAAGACAACACCCCTCATGGAGTCACAAACGGGAATAAAGATTACAGAAATTGAACGTTTTTCGTAATCTTTGATCGGCTCATTCTTAAATTCCTTTCTCCGTTCCTTCTTTCATTCCGTTTGTTCCTTGTCGAACCCGAAATTCCTCGGTCCATTACAGATTATAATCTTTGCAATTGGTGAAAATGTAATCTTTATTCCCGTTTGTGACACTGTGAAGGCCTAAAATTAGGTTAACCAATCAGAAATGGATTCGCATTGTCTTGACTCTCAGTATAAAGGGACTCTAGTCCTAAGGAAAAACGCCGTATGAACCTTCGTCCGTTGCCAAATTTACTTTCGATTAAATACGAATTTTCAGGAAAACTCGTCAACATTTTCCATTCAATTTTTCAGAGAATTTTCTTTGTAATTAGATCTAAATTGTCCGAAAATATCAGGATAAGATATTCATAACTCTCCTCCAAAATACATGTTTTATACGCGGGAATTCGGCGACTCTCGAATGTTGATGCGGCGATTTTCCTTAGCATGGCAGGGCAGATCTCCTCCGAGGCTCACCTTCTTCCTTTCCTCCCTTTCTTTCTTGCTCCTCTCACGTAAGGACGTACCTTAATTTCCGCATGAGCTCCAGAATACGTGGTTTTATGTATAAAACAGGGCTCATGTATACATTGAGATACGCTGTTACGACAAAGTGGCGACGTCTTCGGGTGAATAACTTCACCTGTTTCTCGGACGATTTTATGGCGTATCGCTAGTGGAAACATTACTTGCTAACAAGAATTCCAGTACACCTACCACCAATGGACCACTAGAAAAGGTACGAATTTAAGCATTCTGATACATGTTTCTTAACCAGAATTACACGTAAAACACGATTCACGCTACGAAAATTACCGAAATCAACTTCTAACGAAAATATTAAAGTTTTTATTTCGCACTGATTACGAGGAATTTGAACTGCCCGCTCAGAAGAAACTGAAAGTCCTACGTGAGTCAAATCGCGCACTACAACGGTTTCAGCAAGCTTCTCAATCGAGCATTGTTCATTTTCCACCATGTGTCGTTCAAACTATGAGCAAGTTGCTATAGCTGAGCCAAAGCGTCAAAATTGAGGTTGCCACATTTTTAAATCGCAGATACTGTCATGATAATGTTTAGCGCGCGATGTGAATCACGTAGAGTATTAAGTTTTCATGAGCGGGTGGTTTGAATTCACGCATCAAGAATCATTAAATATCTTCGTAAGGAGTTGATTTCGGTATTTTTCGTTGTGCGCATCGTGTTTTACGTGAAATTTTGGTGAAGAAACATGAATCAGAATGCTGAAATTCGTACCTTGTCTAGTGCTCCATTCCAGTACACCTACCACCAATTCCGACATTACGGGTATCTCATTTCATTACCTACTGATTTTTTTTTCCTTTTCAGGAGGACTAATTAACATTTGGACCGTGCTCAGCTGCAGGAAGAAACCAAACCACCTCAGCTATTGCCAAATTTAACTGAGCAATATATTTGATTCTTTACTAGAAAACGTTATTGCGGATTTTTTTTAAAAATATTAAGACATTTGCTTTGTACTATGCAGAGCATTCACTAAAATTTGCGAAAAATGCATTCATTCGACAACCGCTTTCATGTAAAAATCAAATTGCTCAATTAAATTTGCTGATAGCTGACGAGGCTTAATATTGGTTCCTTTCTGTTTGACGCGGCTCATATTATATTCACGAATTTTTCTTATTTTTTCTTCGCATTTCAAGGCATATCGATGCCTAGGGTCAAAAATGCACTCACCACTGCAACGTCTCGATATCGAATAGTGAAAGAAAATCATATAAGTAATATTTATTTTTTTAATTATAAAAAACACTGCTTTTGACGAAAGGGTGCAGCGCTACCTTAGAATTCAAAAATTCTGAGATCGCACATGCGATACGGTTATCCCTTGATTACAAATGGACCGCGTTTAGCAGAAGGGAGCCAAGCCGCATCCGCTATTGCCACATTTAACCAGGCAATTTCATTTTTTTAAAAGAGATCGTTTATACGGATTCCTTTGAAAATTTTAAGGAATTTCCCTCGTACTATGCAGAAAATTCACTGAAATTTGCACACAAATCCGCACGACCGGTATCATGTAAAAAATTAAATTGCCCAATTAATTTTGGCAATAACTGATGTAGCTTGATTCCTTTCAGCTGAACGCAGTCAAGATCATAGCAGCCAAACGAAGGCCCTTCTGCGATAGAGAAAATCAAAACGCCTGCAATTTTGTAAGTATGCAATACGGACATCCTTAGAGCACGAATAGTTGTATCAAGGCGTTGGAATGAAGATAGCCGAGGCGCCTTCAATTTTTCCTCCTCTCGCAAAGAAATAGCGATGATTTAGAGTCGTAAAACATGAATATCGATTTGAAACGTGACCATAATACCGGTAAGGTTGCGCGTGGTGTCAATGATCACGGTGTTAACAAACCCAAAATAGGATCATGCGGATGCGCTATCTACATTCTGCGTCCGGCAGAAACAGGGCTTTTTAAGAATTAGAGACATTTTCCACTAGCATTAAGTGTGTGGAAACTACATGAAAAATGTGCTTGATCACAAACTAGTAACCGTCAAATCAGTATTTCACGGACATATGATGCCAAATCGTAAAAAAAAAACACATTTTGCGGAAATGGAATACACAATATTGACGAAGAAAATACACTACTTAAAAGCCGCTCATGGAAAGCCCGCAGGTTCTAAATTTTTTTCTTCGTTTTTTTTCAAGATAAATTTCCCCTAGTTCATAACTTATGTAAAGACATTGATTCAGGGGTGAGATATGAAGATTATGCCATAGTGGAAAATGAGAACCACCACAACGGAAGAATTTTAAAAAAGCATTAGTCTGCAAAAATGCAAAAAAATTAATAAAAGTTGATCCCATATCCACCCCCATCTCAAAAATCTCAGGTATACTCACTCAGAAATATATCTTAGAGGGAGAAAAGTTGCACAAGAAGGCAAAGGCACCCTTTTTTGAAAACTGGAGCTCAAATTTTGGAAAAAAAAAGTTTAAAACAAAATTTTGCAAAAAAAAATAATTTTTTCGGAAAACTGATCAAATTAACAGACCAACAGCTTTGACATGAGCTACAAAGGACAAGGTCTGTAGGTTCCATGGAGCCAGAGATACATCAGCGTTTTAAAGACAAGCGCTGCTAAAAAATCTGAGTTTTTACCTGTACCTAAATTGCCAGCCTTGTAATTAGGGCAATTTTAAAAATTAAGAATCAAAACCTTCAAAATCGTTTTTATATTTAACTTGTACTTACATCAAGCTCACCAAATTTCATGTAAGTTCACGATGGTCGCATCAAATTTTCAAAATTTTTTTGTTGATTTAGCACGAACTGACCCTAATCTCGCAATAGTGAGGCTCAAAGAGACGGCTAAATTACTATGAACGTCATGCTGTTCTTGCACAATGTCTACATTGATACAGTAGGATATTGGATGCAACACCATTCATCATTATAAGTTTAGTGATTGATACTTTGATGTTCCTCTGATTTGAGGGTTTAACTTCATTTTATGGTAAGTCTCATGTCCATTACTCTACCTCTTCACAGAAAACTGAAATACGCCTCCAGTCAGAGGAGCAACAATCTGTGCCAACATATGGTTTCAGCAAGCTCTCGGAGACAACAAAAATCATGGACGATAACTGATCGGTTAATAACAGTCCAAAAAAAAATTGCTGATGACAAAGAACAAGCTATGCAAAAAAACTGGAGATTGTAAATTCGCAGATAGCATGGAACAAAAAGTGACAATCCATTTCTTTCCTTTGACCTCCTATGAGGAAACTTTTGGAATTGAACTTGAGTATAGCGAGCACTGAAATGTTTGCATAAGTAGTTAATGAATGAACTAAAATTAGCCCCCAAGAGAACCCAACGGCGCAAAAGTTACAAGACAGTTTTTCATTTACAAACAGAATACGGGTATAGGTTTTGTATGAATACGCCCACCTCTGTGGCATGCACACATAGCAATGACTTTGCTACAGACATGTAATAAACTGCCACGTAATTATTTAGTTGAATCTGAAACCAAGCAATGCATAAATCAGGTTCTTACTCACCTCATTGTTTTGCTTATGATTCATGTTCCAAGACAGAACAGGAATTCATGGATAATTTACTGGGAGATGATGAAGAGAACACACACTGTGTTATGATACTTAAGGCATCATTAAAACTGGAACTGAGTAGCACTGTTGAGATGATGACACGATGAAAATCACTTGAAATGAAATGATATTATGCAAACACAATATACGGACGAAACCTGTCAAGCTCCTTCCAACTTCTAAATAAATACTTCCTTCGATAATACACTGGACCAACGCGAGTAAAAATTGGATAGAATTCCACCGCAATCACTTGATTAAAAGCTGAGTCACAAAGTAGGAGAAAGAAAATGGGGAAAAAGGAAATTTTGTTTTCCTTTGGAAGTAAGTGAATGATTCAAAAAACAGAGGGTTAGGTGTCAGTAATCCTTGGTGAACGTCATTCTACCCGCCAAACATCGCGTGGAGAGGAAAAAAATCAATGGAGTTATAGAGCAACGACCGATGCCGAACAGTAATTTTCGCGAGAGGTTTTTCTTTCGAGAAAGACAATCTGCTAACGCAGGACCGTGATCAAAACAAACTGATAACACTGATGAGCATCGAAAGCCCAGAGCGAAAATGCGTGATGTGGACACCTCACCTCAGTTGCAGACTTGGGAAGGAAGAGGGAAATGAACGCACCGCGGGGATGAAAACTCACTCGATCAAGGGGAAGGGGGAGGGAAAAGCTCTGAGCTTTTACTCTCCCTTCCCTTTCCTACACTCGCGCCCCTAGTCAATTTTCTGCCAACTTCCCCTCCAATGTCCTAACGTGTTGGTATTTCCTGTCTCTACCGTCCGCTAGATGGCAGTAGTTTCTGGCAGCTATTCCCGCCAAACTTTTACCGCCAAATTTCAAAACAGCGCTCTCGCCTCCAGTGACGCGCTTGAGGAGATATCATCAGGACAAACTAAGTAAGGTGGATTTTTTTCTTTTTAGTCTTTTAAAATTTTATAATATGTTGGTTGAAAACCAAAGGATATTATAAGCTTGATGAAAAAGTACTCCCCTTTGGTTGCAGCAGTGTGAATGACTTGGCTCTGAAAATATGTAACTTTCAATTTCGACAATAAATTATCAATTTTAGTTTTGATAACCTTGTTCGATAAATCACAAATCAACTAGCGTGATCGACATTTTGATCATCCACACAATTAGAAGATGCCTATATTTGAACTTCAATTTCACCTATTGATGAACATTGTGTATGAATCATTGGACTTCATTTTGCGATTAGGAACTACTTACAATTTCTGACCACTTAATTTGTAAAATTACTTACCTGCTTATCGAAACTAATGGCACATATGTTACATTCAGCTGGAGATTGTAGTTCCTAATTGTAGAATGCAGCTTAGGCGGAATATATTGCTTGGAGCAAAGCTTAAGGGACTTGAGACATAACATAAAAATATTATGCATCTATTTGTACTAGCAAAAAATCATTTCAATTTTTAAGTACATACACTTGACACTTGTATGCCAGGAAGTCCCAGACGTCACAAATGGAGGTGATGGGTTTCGCACTTTTCATCATTGATGTGCTGAGTTTCATTTTCATTTTTCTTTTTCTTTTTCTTGCAACATTTTCATATCTAATTTGGTTTAGGAAAGCAGACAGACTCCACACCCAACTCAAGGCATGAAGTCAGTGGAGAGCCTCTCTTTTGAATTTTGATATACAGTATTCTCTCGCTATAACGACACTCATTATAACGAAAATCTCTCCTTTGCAAGGGAATCGCCCAGTCCCTTGAACGATTTTCTCGCTATAATGACACTCATTACAACGAAAATCTCTCTTTTGGGAAGGAATCGCCCGATCCCTTTCCAATTCGTTATAGCGAGACAGTACTGTATTTATAGAAGTATTTGATTTTCTTTTGGAAAGGAGAGACAAATAGATTGGATTATATGAGAGCAAAACTAATATTGAACAAAATTATCATGAGGGGAAAAAAGAAAGATGATTTTTTTGCGGCAGTAAAGTGTAATTATTCTTTTAAAAATAAATACAACAACAAATTAACGATACAATAAAATCATCTCCAGAGCGAGATAGGAGTAGAATTTTAGAGGCATTTTTGAATTCTGTAAAATCTACTTAATTACAGAAAACTAAACATACAGTGGATCTTAACTAATTAAAACAAAACTAAAATAAGAAAATATCCTTGCAGGTACATCTTAAAATTAATATACTTGAAAATAAATACACAAAATTTAATATTCATAATATCACAAATTGGTTGAGTCAGGCCAGAAAAGATGAAAAAAATGACATGAGACTTTGCAAGAAAATTTTGATTTATGTCGTGTAAAAACGTGGTAATGACACCAATTTCAAAGACTGTAAGTATTTGATGATAGAAATGCTTTTTTAAAAACGACCATGACTCAGTCACTCTGTAACCATTCGACTTCATATTGGTCCCAATCGATAGCTTTTGAATTGATATTTAAAATGAGTCTTCGATCAAGCCTCTCCCTATCTCAGCTTTTGAATCACAGGACTAGTCCTGTTGCTTTTTCGACACTCTAGGTAAATGCTGATGATCTGATTCTCACTATCCACAGCTTTATTTTGAAATCAAACTTTGCTTTTGAAATTATCAGAACAAAGGGTGGAGAAAAATTATGATTTTCTGCTTTATGATGCAACCATGTACGCACTTAAATAGTACTGAAAGTCCATATTTTTGTGTTTTGGCAGAATTTGGCGTCGAAAAAACATGTGGAATCCAAACAACAAGAGATCCTTGACTGCCTACTTTAAGTTGCCAAGTTTAAGTTGTCGCATACATAATGTATATTATGAAATGAGATTTATGTTTTTGATTATCATCCAGCTTTTTCTGTATCCAGCCCAAGCCTGATACGTGTCAGGCAAGATAATCTACATTTTACTCAATTCCGTTCTTTTCCGGCCAACTTGAAAGAGTGACTCAGTGTTTTACGTAAATGATGGTAAAAACTAGTCTCATTTTGAAACTGAGCCACTCTAAAGTAAGATTTTCTTACTGATTTTAAACAAGCTACAATTGAAATAACCTATAAATACAAACAATTAATTTAATCAATGTTGTAAAATACAAACAATTACTTTAATCAATGTTGTATTTCACTTGAATCAAAAACGATTTTAGCCTAAAGTCTACAGTACAGATCTTGAAATACAAAAATATCTCAGTCTCTGATTTGCTTAAAAACTAAAATTTAACAGTTGCATAAATGAGATGAGTGGTTATTTAAAGACAGTAACATGGCTCGAGAGCCAAGCAAGCATGAGCTGGCTCTCACTTTATGACAACAGATTAGGATGGAAACATTTCAATCATTGAAAAAGAATACAAATGCAAATAAAATAAAGAAGGAACTTCTGATTACAAAAATACATTTTAGAGACTGCACAATTTTTCCGGTCAGGGCATTTAAAGAATAATCCGAAAAATGGAGTACAATAGTTAACAGAACAATTTGGGGGGAAAAAAGAAAAAATAGCTTAAATGGGACCAAAGTACTTTTTGTTCATGAAGACTGATAAAAGAGAAAAACCATAAAAAAGAGAGAAATGAGAAGAAAAACAAACACTAGATTGATTATGCGACGATCACTCTGTACACTACTACTTCCATCATATCAACATCAGTGATTCAGTGATCAGTAATTTATTTCAGCTAATAAGGGGAAATTAAAGAAAATTTGACACCCATTCAGGCTCTGGCATAAGCCTCTGCCACAATTCATCCGATCATCAAAGTATTACTGTACACATTTACATTTTGATGAAGGAGTAAGTTTTATAACTGTCTATCCATTTCAAATTTAACTAAAAATACTCGCGGATTTAGACTACATTTTATAACTACCAAAAAAAGGCTCCATAACTTTTGGAGGGAAAGAATGAAAATATTTGATTCTTGACACGAAAAAAAAAAGGCTTACAGAAGATGATTCAAAAATTAAAAAAATAAAGAGAACAATTTTCTGGCTAGGAATGATCATCAGCCAAAATTCAGAAAAGAAATCAAGAAATATTAGTTCAAAATATGAGTACAAAAATTTCATCACTGAAAGTTGTTGATCTGAAATAACTACTTTCTATTACTCCTGCACAATCAGTCTTGATAAAAAAAAGGGTTGACCAAACAGGCAGGCCACTTTTCAAAAAGGTTAACACCATTTTTAGCACCTTCTCATGAAAGCTAAACAATCAGAGAACAAAAGTTACAGAAAGAACAAAACTGCCATGATAGCGAAGAGAGCCACAACTCAAATTTTTGAAAACTCGTTCATTTAAAATTTTTCTGATCTGATTTGTATGACATCACTGATGCTGCTAAAACAGCAAACTTTGTCTTCTTCATATAAAACCGAGACGTACGAAAACACCATCGGTGTGCAAAAATTGACCTTGTTTCAGACAAAACAGCCGTAGGATGCATTATTCCACCTGAGAGCCAATGAGAGCAGTACTTGTAAGTAAAATGACTTGCATTTCTGCCACAATTTTTAACTATGAAAATTGTTTGATATGTGTCCAAAACGCAACCACAAAAGCATGCAGAAGATAGCACTTACAGGTGTCTTGCCTGACACTAACCTAACATGAAAATGAAACAGATCCTTTTATATAAAATAGTTGAAAATAAGGTTTGTCAATTTTTAATCATTCGAACTAATTCTGAGAGTCTTCTGAATGATCAAAGCCAATTTTACGAAGAATGACGGCTTCTTTTAGCAATATTCTCCACTCAAACGCTACCAAGCCTATTTTCTCAAAACTTGATCTTTGCACTTACGGCTTTTTTTGCTATCATGGCAGAAAACGAAGGCAGTAAAGCCACCTAATGTGAACTGTTATCTCTACAGGCTCACTCATTCAAGCTTTGTTGGGTATGAGGGTATTCTTTAATCAAGAATGAAAATATAATTCTTGCAGAATAGACCAGCAAGAAAGTATCTTTCAAATTCTAATGATCATTTTAAATTGCTTTGAAAACAAGTTCTTTCAGGTGCTTTGTTTAACGTCAGTTATTTTAAAATCAACCATGGATCCTAAACTTACATATAGTCAGATTCCTAATTTAACAATTATTTACCTGGTAAATTAACAGCCTTTTGATTTAAGATGAATGATAGCGTTTTGCACATTGGTTCCTCTGATCTGCTGTAACTGAGCATTCTTTCGGCAGTACCTCCATCTGAAAAAAAGAAGGAAGGGATGTACTGAGGATATCTAAAAGAGAGATTTACCAAGCTCGAGGATAGTTCCAAAACTGCTGAATAAAGCTGGTATTTTTAGAACTCTCTTAAAAAATAGAAGGAACACCAGCTGATGTTCTTCCACATACCTATTTTGTTGCAACAGTTTTCATGGGAAATTAAAAGAAGATGGTTCTTTCCGGAAAAGGGTTTCCGAAACGATTCCGATAAACGTGATGACAAGATACAACTGTAATAAGAGTGTCTGAGCCTGTTTCCTAGCACATTTATTTGTTGCTGTCATGACAGCACTAAAAGGAAAGGTCGATAGATGTACCGAATCGTAGCAGAGAAATTTGGCATCAACTAAACAAAGTTTTTGGATATGATGTTCCTCATGATTTCCGGTAAGATGACCTTTACATGTTATTAGACTTTTTGTGCTCTAAATTGAAGGAACTCTACTCTGAAAAGTGCACTTTTGAACAGTTTTACACGCACTTTTCAGTGGAAGAATGTAGCCAATGGTAAAACCAACGACTCAGTGGCAACGCAGTTGAAAACAAAAAACTACACATTTTCAATTCAGCGACAAAGCTACTTCTCCAACTAACAGGACATGTGCCACTCCTCCAACTAACAGGACATGTGCCAAAAAATGAACTTTTCAGACCCAATTTTTTCCAGATTGGCACATATGAAGTTCAATTTCAATAGCTCATTTCACCCAGAATGTTACGAGGAACATCATATAAAAATATCGAAGAGTTGACGCCAAAATTTCTAGGTATTCAGTGTTGTACCTAGACCAGTTTTTAATTCCTATGTAATCCATCCAATATCCCTTTTGAAATTTTTGTTGCCTCTACTTTGTTTAATGCGTAGTTATGACAAGGAAATATTTCAGTCTCTCCTGAAAAAAGAGATGAATCGGTCAGAATAAAAACTTGATCATCAAGAATTATTTCAAATGAAAGAGAGTACTTTGGAAAAATTAGACATCACTTACATCCTTCCATTCAAATCAGCCACTGATACAAAGTCAACGATTGTTAGAGGGTGAAATGGCGCACCATTTGGGAGTTGCGTCAGAGTGTAATAGCTTACTTCTGCCTCTACTTCAGGGATTTCTGAGCTATCTTCCGTGTGGTTTGCTAATGATAGACTCGAGTACATGATTCCTCCACGGATTTCTTGGAATCTATCAAAAACGAAAAAAATTGAATAACCGCCCTAGGTAGGTAGGTAGGTAGGTAGATAGATAGATAGATAGATAAAATTACTTTGTTTTTAACCTTTGTGGGTTTAAAAAAGGGGTCTAACAAAAGCATTACAAATTTTTCATTTTTTAACAAATCAATTTTTTCAATTCATTCATGAAGTATAAAAGACCTAATTTTTATGGCAGCATTTAGGAAATTGTAAACGTTTGTTAACTTGTTGCTGTCTGATGTAACTCAATTTGATGATATTTTTTTTATGAGCGAAAAGTTTGGATTCTTCCATTAGAAAAAATTGATATGTATCTCAGCTAAGAGCTGCATTCAATAGGCCTTAATCCACGATCAGCTTGAGCTTAAGTTTAGCTTCAGTTTGGCATTTGCTCAACAATCGAATTTCTTAAATTTGATCGTATTCAACTGACATTCGTATTTAAATAGATAAAGGATGAGAAGACGAGTGGAATTCATCTAATTTAGAACGTTGATCGATGGTCAGGATTTGGCAGCCCGCTAAACATTCACCAAGCAACAAACTCATCAAACTGACGCCAAACTTAAGCTCAGGCTGATCTTGGATTTCACCTAACTTTTTTTGCACAAATTGTGTTATACCAGCAGCCTGATTGTTGAAATTTATGTCGGCACGACAAGAATCGAAAATCGATATATTACACGGCACAGGTGCCATGTCTTGTCTTATCGTGCCGACATAGCCAGTTAAAGTTTCAACAATCCGGCTGCTGAGCTTTTGATGAGAAAACATGTATTACATTGTTTAAATTCGCACCTGGTCTAGTGGTCTATAAAAGAAAATAAGTTTCATGAACCAATTTGAAGCAGCTACACTCATTTTTCTGAGTGCGAGTAAGTTAAAAAGATACAATTGTCTTACAAAGAAAAAAAACAGAAAAATGATGCTTTTCGCCTTTGCAAGGTGTGATTTTTTGAAACTTTTCAAGATAATAAAAAACAGCATCCAATCAAAGTTCAGAGCAGGCGATGTGTATCGCTGCAAATGCTAGGATCCTTGTTCTGTTCTCAAATCAATAATGCAGTTTTGATAGCGGGTTCAAAATCATCTATTGATAAATTTTAAAAAAGCTGTCAAATGAAATTCTTGAACAGTAGTGCCCATATTCAGCAGATTTTCCATAATTTAAGTAGAAATAAATTTGCACAATGCACAAGCATTCAATTAACTCACTTGGTTGGAAACTGAAATGAGGAGTAAACTTTGGGCTCCAGAACAGTGAGTTGTAAATACCCTCTCGCAGTTTCTGATTTCTCTGACAGGTATATTTTTGCCTGCAGCTGATTACCTGAAAACAGGAAAAAGAGCAAGTTATATGTTAAAGTAAAAGTCAATGCAAGCTAGCTGGTGATGATATAGACTGCATTTTATAATAAAAAATTACTATTTCAGGCTTATTCCACAAACAATGTGCGTAGACAATGTAATGGGGGGGGGGGGCATATTGAAAATGAACCTTTTTGAACTTTCTGAGGAACATTCAACAATTTTATCGGATGAAGGCTTTTAAACTGGTTTTGACGCAAGTAGGGTGAAGAACAATATTGAAATTTATTTCAAAGAATTTTTTCTGGGACATTTGTTTGTATTGTTGTTCAAAAGGTTGGAACAGACTTTTGAGGAACCTGTTACTACCTGTTTTCTAATGTACTCTGATGTGAATAAAGAAATAAATAAAACATTTGTTTACGTACCACAGAATGGACTAGAATCTTTAGTTACTAGGTAGAGTGCTCCTCGAGCTTTGGACTTTTCTGCAGGGAATCCCATCATTCCGCAATCTCCAGTTTCTATGTAAAAAACAGGAAAACGATTGATAAAAAGGGTTATATAAGATAAACATTTTAAATATTTTTGTGAGTTTGCGTTCTTTTACTCATTTCTTTCAATTTTGCTTTATTTTATTTTCTTCAGTTTACCAACTAAAAGTTAGTTACCTTGTTTAATCTGCAGGTTCAATTTTTTGTCATTCTTAACCCTTTGGTTAATGCGAGGAACCATCACTACTTCATACCCAAGGATATTATTCGAATTTATACAGTTTGCATGAGCAAAACAAGGAACTTGTCGTGGGGAGAGCAGAAAGGCACCTCATCAACGGGGTGCAGGGGGGGGGGGAGGCACCAAAAGACATTCCACAAAAAAGGTCTGTGGGACTCCCGTGGCTTTAAAGGAGGGTTCTGGGGATTTCTTTAGCTTCAAAGAGGTGTTTCAAGCGGCTGCCTGAGGACATTTGGAAAATTGAGTCATCTCAGGAGCACTTTTGAGCTGTTCTTTTTTTCTTAATCCATCATAGAACCAGTGGCACTTGCATGAATTACACAAATCATCTAATACTGAAAGAAATAAAGAATGGTTTTAACGGTCCACTTCTCACCATTGTCTGTGATGCACTTCTGTGGAAAACAAGAACCTTCTAAGAAACTTTCATGGCCGTACGGGCAATGCCATGCTCGAAAAGTGCATCCTGCAGGATTGAGACTCTCTTTGAACAATTGCCAGGCTCGTACATGATTGCAAACAACACTTGAATTTGTAGTGCCCTCTGGAACAGACAAAATACAGAATTTAAGTTTGTTTGAAATTTATGAGCTGTGTATTTTTATGTTGAAATTAAGTCTTGACTGATCTCGTATGGAAATTTTTCAGTATTACGCATCCATGAATTCTGTTCTATTAATTCTTCCTAAATATGTTTGTTTTTTTTAATGAGTTACTAATATTTGTAGGTGCAAGCTTCCAAAATCTTGAGCTCTCTCGACACCTGATAGCCAAATGATGGTGAAAAATAAAAAAATATGGGTCAGAATCCACTCTCTACATACCTGTTAACATTATCTGACCATAAAAAAATTTGACTTCTTCGAGCCTCGTTAAATCGGTTTGTAATTGCCTACATATACAATTACCATAGGTCTACGGTCTTGGGAGTTGCTTTTTAACTGATCATTTCTACATGATCATTTTTCCGGATTTTGGTTCATCTGGACCCAATCAGCTCCCAATTAATCTGGATAATAAAGAACTCAAGACCCTAATGCCCTTCGGCACACGATTTTTAGAAAATAAGGAGGGTCACTTTTTATGTGCTTCATTAATTTACGAAAAAATAAGAAATAAATCAAGAGGATTTCAAAGGCAATGCTTTCACCTAATGTGCTGACAAGAAGTGGTTGACGAACTTGAACACAGCCTGGTTGGTTTTGACCACCATTCGGGAAGTAGTCAACATGGCCAATGGGCTTCAGCAGCCCAAAACCTTCCGACCAAGTTGCAGCTCCATCTGTATGGATTACATCTACAAAATGTGCATCGTCTGTGTTTAGTGATTCAAGGGATCTTGCGAATACTTGTCGAAATAGGGGAGACGCTGGGTCTAAACCTGGAAATTAAAACTTAGGAGTTTCAATTTTTGCAAAATTAAAATCACGAGAGTCTGTTTTATCGGTAGAGAAAAAGATGAATGGAGGGACTCAGAGGAGAGGGCACATTAGTGCACTTTTTTAAAAAATTGAGATATTAATGATTTTAAGTAAAACTAATCTTAAAACATAATCTGTGAAACATTTGCTCTCAAATTCCAATTTTTAAGCATCAAAGAGTCAGTTTGAATTTTCTTTCCGCCATAAGGATCCGTATAATTTTACAGCTTTCTTGAAATATCGAAAACTGCACTTATGCACCTTGTCCTCCAAGCCCCTCAAGTGAATAAATTAGGAAAATACTGCCGCGCTGAGGAAGAACGCTGTATGGACATTCTAGAGTTGCCAAATTTCTCTGGATAAAATTAGAAATTTTCAAAGAACGTTGTGCATATTTTTTCTTGAAATTTTCAGACATTTCAGATTGAATAGCAAACGCAATTGTTTGAAAAACACAAAGAAAAATATTCACAGGTTCCCCAGTAAATTAGTTTTTTACTGAAGGAAATATGGCAACGTCTGAAGGTTCATACAGCGGTTGTCCTTAGCATTGCAGAATAAAGAACGTGACAAAATCAAAGCCATAATAATGATCTTAAGGTCTTAAATAAATCAGTTCAGTAAAAACGATCAGTAACCATAGCAAAAACGCTGTTTTCAATCATTACAATATGAAAATAGGGGATAAAAAAATAATTACTTAATACTGGGAAATATGGACCCTATGAAATATATCCATTTTGCAAAAAGGAACCAAGAGCGTTCCAATGTCGCTAAGATTGTGCAATTTTTTTTACCTTGAAAATTTTGTTTTGAGAAAATTGTATTTTTTGCAGCAGAAAATGAGCCGGTAACTGTAAGAAACACCCTCCATTTTATTGTTTTTATTGTTTGTCTTGTTTACCCACGTTTTAATCTTTTCCTAATGAACCTATTCGTTCATTGTTAGAAATACCTGTGATTCTTCCAACTTTTTCACCCTTTAGAGTGAGCAGAGCTCGACCAGTGAAGCCTGCGATGTGAGCTCCTAAACTGAAGCCAATAATGTGGATATTTTCAGCAGAAGCACCCAACATAATCATATTTTGGAGAAGAAGGCCCAGTTGCCGTCCGATCAGTTGCGTGTTGCCAGCAGCGACTGCATAGCTGGGTCCGGCTGCTCCTTTTTCCCAATTGACTACAACCACATTTACATCTTCCTGAAAATATGAGGCGAAAATAAATATATTAATGATGCTAAATTCATCCTTCAATAGAAATTTTAACACCTCATGTTGAACGATGTCATAAGATTTTGAGAAAGAATAAAACCAAGATGTATTAGAGTTCATACTTTAATTGCTAAAGCCTTTTGGCTTGATAGCCATCATCAGAGCTATTACAAGTTGCACCACTTACATTGACAAAAAAGTAGGATTCATCGCATGGGCATAGTTGAATAATAAGCATCAAATAATAACTTTTCTGTTATTTGATTGCATCCATGTGATAAAACATTTTTTTTTTGTGTGTGTGTAAGTGATGCAAGTTGTAAAAGCTCTGATGATGGCTATCAAGCCGAGAAGTTTCAGTAACTAAAATATGAATTCTACTACGTCTTGGTTTTATTTGTTCCATCAATCTGCCGTGCTAAGTAAAAACGTCGTATGTATGCACATTCGAATGGTGCCAAATTTTTTTTCAGAAAAAAATAAATGTTCAGAGAAGTTATGAATACTGTTTTTTGAAATTTTCAGACTCCTTGGATCAAATTACGAAAAAGATCCTCTGATAAATCAGAGAGGGAATATATTCAGGAATTTTCCTGAAAATTCGTGATGTGTCTATGGAAATTTGACAACGTCTGATGGCTCATACGGCGTTGTTGCTTTGGACGGGAGTATTTCTCTCCTTAGTCTATAGGAAGCACCCGTTTGAAGGGATAGCATGCAGGGCCGGATTTACCTACTTGCCGCCCATGGCCAAAGACCGCCTGTATTATGCCGCCCCCTTCTCGTTTGTTCGTTCGTTTTGAAACATCGATACAAACCATCAAGTAAACAAGCCGGAGGAGGTGGGGTGCACAAGACGCACTTACTCGTGTCGAGCACATTTTTTCTGAAAGTCTACACTAGCAAAAGTTCATGGAACTTTACGCGAAAATTAAGTTCCGTGAACCTATCTCTGTGTGGACGAGACCTTTCATTAATAAGAAAAGAACGAAAAAATTATGAAAGAATAAACATGAATGTGGATTGATGATTTTAATTTCCGCCAAAGCGTTAACCGCACTGTGGCGCAATGCGTGAAGTATCCCTGCAGTCTTGTAGGCGCTATGCGTTTCACGCCGACCGCTCCTGACCGCACTACGTTTGACGCAATGCGTAAAGTATTCATGGAGTCTTGTAGGCGCTAATAAGTGTTTCCTGCTGACCGGGGCGCCGAGGGCTCCTCCTTTTTATCTCAAGTCCTCGTCATCATTGCTCTCTGCGCCGCGCCGCTCTGGGCTGCATTGCGTGTTTGGTTTCTCTCTCAACTAATGAGAGGCGCTGTCTCTTATGGTATCACCGAAAGACGAACAAATTAGAAATTACTATACTTTAACTATCAGAAAACGAGAGATTTTATCGCCTTTTTTCGTTCGTAATTTTTTTTCTAAATCAGATTTTTTTCTTGATACCTACATTTGAAAAAATCACAACATTTGTCGCCCCCTAAATTTGCCGCCTTGGGCCGCGGCCCATGTGACCCCTAAATCCGGCCCTGACAGTATATGGCTGTATTTCTCGTTGGCTTCGTCTAGAGTCCCTTTATACTGAGAGTCAAGACAACACCCCTCATGGAGTCACAAACGGGAATAAAGATTACAGAAATTGAACGTTTTTCGTAATCTTTGATCGGCCCATTCTCAAACTCCTTTCTCCGTTCCTTCTCTCATTCCGTTTGTTCCTTGCCGAACCCGTAATTCCCTGGTCCATTCCAGATTATAATCTTTGCAATCGGTGAAAATGTAATCTTTATTCCCGTTTGTGACACTGCGAAGGCCTAAACTACGGGAACCAATCAGAAATGGATTCACATTGTCTTGACTCTCAGTATAAAGGGACTCTAGCTTCGTCCACGGGTTCTAATAATGAGTCGATTAAAAGGGTGAGAAGTGGAGGCTCACCAGGTTGAGGAGGGCGTGGGTGATGTCGAGGGCTCCTCGGTCCTTGCCGCTGCCTTTGAATCCGTGGATGATGACTTTGATGGGCTTCTTCGGCTTGAACTTGGCGTTGAGCAGGGACTGGCCCTCGTCGTCGTAGGCGAGCAGGTCCGGCTGGAGCCCCGTTCGGCTGTTGTTGCGGGTGAAGAGGAAGAACTTGGTGTCCACCACTTCCGGCGGCTGCGGCTGCCGTTTCAGCGGAGAGGCGCGCAACCGCGGGCCCTCGAAACACCCGACCATCTCTGCAAAAACACGAGCACACATCAATTAGTGGATATGCACTTTCGGCAAGGCACATGTGCCCGAGTATAGCACAGCAGGCTCATTATTTCAATTTACATACAAAGCGATAGACAAAGAAAGCACAGTATGGAGCCATCCTATTGCTTGAAATAGAGATGTTGCATGAGTGAGGAATTTGCCATTTGACTATTGATTCTTAAGTAAAAGTTCGCGAGAAACACGATGGTCCCACTGGTTTTCTCTGAAATCCAGTGAGCTTCCTTCCTTTCCTTGAGCTTGGGAGTTCCCAAGCTCAAAAAAACTCTTAAAGTTGAGGCTGCAATGAAGGGGAAATCCCACGCTCTTCTGAGAGTACATCTCTACATCAAGACAAACTCTCCATGCAAAGATAGGAAGCGAATACATTGACAGGGCTCCCACTTTATTTGGGGACTCTAAAACTGAAAACCCGGCATCCCTGCTAATGTATTTGCTCTTTATCTTCGCATGGAGAGTTCGTCTTGATGTAGAGGTGGATTTTCGGGATAGCGTGAGATGTCCCCTTAATTACAACCTCAACTTTGAGAGCTTTTTTTGAGCGGGTCCGATTTTCATGTATAGCTGGGGATCTGATTCCTGAGCGAGGCTGTGATGCATTTCACACGCAACGATAATAAGTTTTAATGTTGGTAATTTTGGAGAGTGCATACTTATATTTTTCTGCGTAGAAGACAAAAACATCAGAAACATTAGATAGCGGTGCGAGGGCAACAGCCTTGGATAAAAAGAAAACGAAAAACTTCGTTTCGAAAGTGAACGACAGAACGTTCCTAGAAGTCAAACCACTAATCATAGTTCCGGAATTCTCCGGGAATCACGAGAGATCATTGACTCGCGTGGTATTTGCATTTTTGGCTCAGTTGTCGCCGTTAATGAAAAAAACCATAAGTTCTTAGTTATTAACAGACGTAGCTGAGTTTGTATGACAACCCGTTCTCGAATGTTGAAGACCGAACGTTCCTCCGCTGTAAACGAAACAGGCCAAAGGAATAATACCAAAAAACGGGGATTATTACAAAATCGGCTCGACTACTTAGCTATAGCGAACAGAAGATTACGAGTGATGGGGGGGGGGGGTGAATGTTTTTCTTCTTCATCCTCCAGATCAGCGTGACTCGTGACCGGAGGCTCATTTTTACAATCCATGACGTGGTTTCCAGTCCTAGATTTGGGATAATATATTTGAAGGGCTTGGAGCAGCACAAAAGGCGCATACGTGCAGTTGTTGAAAAAAGTGAGATATTAATGATTTCAAGTAAAACAAGTCTTAATGCATACTTATTCTGTGAAAAATTCGCTCCCAAATTCCAATTTTTAAGCATCAAAAAGCCAGTCTGCTACATGCACGGAACTGAAGGGTACCCTACATAAGGACATTGTATGAGGTAAGAAGTAATTTCTGTATCTGCAGCTTGATTTCAAAATATCCCGATTTTTCCGTTGAAAAATGCTACTTGGGAAATGGGCTTTTATCGTATGGCATTTTAAATCATAAATTATTACTCTACTCGTTCAGAAGAGCATATTACCATTATTACATGCCACAAGCACAGGAAAGATTGAAAATATGGACAGGTGAAAAATGAGGATGATCATGGGACTAGCTGGTCCATATAACATCATCTCTCTGACTAGAGGGCATGACTCGATTTCCACATGAGTCCACTGAATCCACATGAGTCCACCGAGTCCACAAGAGTTCATATTTATCCCATTGGGGATACTTTTACTGTGCTTTTACCGATGGAAAAATGGCGGGCATTGACATTGAAAGGGGGAACTTCCAAGGTTCTGAGCTATGGTGAGTCATCCATGCTGCCATGCTAGGGAGAAACGCCGTATGAGCATTCGAATGATGCCCCCCCATAAAGTTTCCCATCAGAAAATATTTACTTTTGAAGAGAGTTATGGATATTAACCCTTGAAATTTTCAGACGTTTAGATCAAATTAGGAGCAAAATTCCCTAGTAAATAGGAAGAAAAACATTTAAGAATTTTCCCGGAAATTCGTGATTTTTAAAAGGAAATTTGGCAAGGTTTAAAGACACATAAGCCGCTCTTCCTTGACGGTGCAGTATCCACCTCGACTGCACCGTCACCTCCTCCGCCGCCTGCATTTCCATCCGGAGCGTGTAAGCGGCGGCGCGCGGCGATGCGTTACATTCCATCTTCCGATGAATCGATTGATCGGCATTTAAACCTACGGGAAATAAAGATGGATTCAAGAGTGTTGGCACCGACCCTCTCGATAATCGATTCTTCAGCGTAGCTTCGAGTGAGAAAATATCGACAGAGAACCGTAACTGCATGTCTGTGGTGAGCTCTGGTTAGCACATGCTCTTATGTGTCTCGAGGCTCATCCCTGACTAACTTACGGCTCTCTTCCGTGCAAGAGGAGTGCTGCCGTGCTAAGGAAGAATGCCGTATGAACATTCGAGAGTTGCCAAATTTTCCCCGATAAAATGTTTATTTTTGAGGAAAGTTATCAATATTTTTCCTTGAAATTTTTACACTATTTGGATCAAATAACGAACGAAATTCTCTGAAAAATCTAAAGAAAAATGTTGATAAATATTCCCATAAATTCGTTATTTATCAAAAGAAATTTGGCAACGTCTAAAGGTTCATACGGCGTTTTTCCTTAGCACGGCAGAGTGGGGTTCAACGATCGGCGGATGGAGTGTCGCTCTGGCACTCATTCCGAGTGAGTTGAAGTCACCTGCAAGTCATCCGGAAGCGGAGATCCTTCCTCCGCGGGCAGAGACATGAGACATGAGCTTTCATCATCGATTTATGAATAAGTTGTTACGCTGCCTGGACGAGGTGACATGAAACCCTGTTGCCGCGGCCACGCAGAATACTTCCACGTATTCATGCTAAATGGAACTATGTGCAAGTGCAAAGATGGGGTGTGCTCCTTAGTTGAGGGCCATAAGAATGCGCGGGACTTTGAAAGCGCCAGTGACGTCAGCGGCAACGACCAAGACCGGGCAGGACGGGGAGATGGGTGCTGAGACTTTTTAGCGCATGAGCCCTGTCCGCAAGGCTCTTGTTACCTGTCCACGGCTCGCGAGTTAGCGCTCAGTTCCTTTTGATTTCATGTAAAATACCTCTTTTCCATTTTCTCAAAAGGAACTATACCCACTGACCACGTTGTTTCTTACCCACCTTTCCACGAGCACACCCCATCTTTTCACTTGCACATAGTTCCTTTTAGCATGATTGCGTCCACTTGTCCGCTTGCCAACCGTGGGTGTAGGAAGGGACAACTTCCTCCCGATGAGTTTGCGAAAAGTCTCAAGTCTGAGTTGGCGAGAAATGCGGTTTTTCAGGATTCGACCGCAAAGCTTCAAAACTCGATTTTTTCGCCAAAATCGGCCTTTAGACCCATATTTAGGCCGTGTTAGACCCGAAGAGAGACAGAGAATATTCAAATCATTCTACATTCCGAAAAAATAATGTCCAACTTCTCAGGAAAATGGCTCGCGGATGACTAGGGGTCTCCAGGTTTTTTTAAAAATTATTTTCGGACGACTGGACAGCGCTGCTTGACGCGATGTAAACACTGGCTGGCAGCATGATGGGCGGATGTAATCAACATGCGTCATGCGCCTATCGTTGAGAACCGAATCAAAGTCCAAGCTCCTTATGCAACGGACGGAAAGCTATGTCTTTTAGCAAGTCAGAGAGCTCTCCGAATCGGATGATGAAAATTGCGGTAAGGACGGAAGGTTGAGTAGCTTTATCGGGAGTGTATGCTACCTAGAGGATCCATTCCTCATTGGTTCAGCCATCTTAGGCTTCATGGGATAATAGACTGATTTAATAGCTACGTCATTCGATATATCCAACCCTTAGTTCAATGCAAACAAACACAGAACCTTGTTTCTGATTCGCACCCTTTGCGCCATGGTGGTAAAATGCGTCCAAGTTTTTCTTACAATCGACAGTTCTCGTGATTAATGAGTCTTCAATTGATTTAGGACCGGTCAATCTCTAAATTTTAATTAATTAACACAATTGACTCGACCTAAAGAATTTAAGCATGAGATTATGTTAATTTGTTAGTCTATTAAAAAATGTATACGAAGTTACATGCAGATGTTTTGTTCTTATCACTATAATTTCAAATATAGTGACGTATATTATTATTATGATAATTGATAAAAATTTTTCTATTTTTGATATTGTATAGATAATTTGTCGGCTTATATTCAATCAGCAAAATTACACGATTAGGCGTATTTACTCAATTCATATACCAAATTGACGCATTACATTTGAAGAAGAAAAAAAATCGACTACATCTAGTGCATTAAAGTTGATAATAAGTGCAGCAGGTGCAACTTTCGAAGTAGCAAAGGTTGGAAAAAACCCTTCTTCGTCCGCTTCCACCCAGAGTTGCTGACTTTTTCTTCTTCTTCTTCTTCTTTTTTATTTTAAAGATCACCAAGAGACTCAGCGATCATACTTCCTCAGTAAAGTTATCTTCTAAGAAATATGACTTGGTGCTTGCAGCGTCCATTGAAGAGTCGAAAAATGCCCTGGAGATGATGGAGACTTGAACGCAGCGTTAGAAAAGCAAACCATTTCATAAGGTGACAATTCCCTATTCGTCCAGTCCAGTTATGGGCACGATAGCCACGGTGAAAAACATTCGCTTGCCCAACACATTTGATGAGCCCGAAAACACACAGGAAAACTTGGAGACTTAAACGCAGCGTTAGGAAGTAAACCTACTGACATAATCTCACTTTCTGAGTAGCTTCTCAACTGCACACATCACTAATTAACAGAGTTGGGCTGAGGAAGGCGTGAGAATACTACTATTATACTGTTAAATACTGTTATCCAAGATATTTTACAGCAAAAAATACTGACTTTACAGAACGATTAGACCTTCCCTGTTAAGAACCCACAGTTGGCTGCTATTTCATTTCAGTGAAATTGTTGGTCACTT